CCCTCTCCACCTCAACTGAAGTATTCTCTATCTCGAGCACTGGCATTCTTCTGATCACGCTTTGCTCTCTCTCCCCGTATCTACCTCTGAGTTACCTCAGCATGCCATGTGTGCATATCACTCCCTGTGTGACCAGCAGTGGGCACTCTGCCTGACCATTCTCCAGAACAGCAGAGACCATAGTGCCGCAAGAGTCTTCAGACAGCTGCCATTTGTTTTGTCCAAAGCAAGGCACCAGTGTCCCTGCGTGGAACTCAAGCTTTCCTGGCAAATGGACTTGCATTCCAGTCCTGGGCCTTCCACAGCCTGGCGGAGGGCTACCCAAGATGGCACAGGCCAGAACCCCCTCCATCTTCTAAAGGAAAGGGTTTGGTGAGAAGAAAAGGTTAAAACTTTAGGATCAGATGATCCTGGGTTCAAACACTAGTCCTCTCATCTTCTGGCTGTAAGATGTAGACAAGTCTTCAAACTTGAAATGTTAAGACTCACACAACTGATTTAAGATCATATGCAACAACATCAATATGGCTTTTAATAAGCGTTAAGTAAGCCTGGTACAGAGTAGCTACTTCTGCTAGCAGTTGCTGTGACATTGATTCTAACTCATGAAAACTCTATGTTGTCATCAGAGCAGAAATAAATTTCTGATAATGTTTTCAGTGGCCACTTTTCAGGGGTAGATTACTGGACCTTTCTTCCAAGGGGCCTCAGTGGAGCTTAAATGCCAACTTGTGAAATAGCTGAGCCTTAAACGTTAAGCCAGCAAAGCACATGAACCATCTGCAACAAGCAAGGACTCCACACAGCATGACTTGCTGTCGAAGGGCAGGTACTAGGTGGACCTCATCCCTCTTTATTCCCCATCACCAAGCGCAGGGTACGTGGCAGGTGCTCAAAAATGTAGGCTGACTCTTGAGTCCCATCCTCTCCCAATTCTCAGATATGAAAAGTTCAGGACAATGGAAGGCAAACTAAGATTCATAAGACCACAGCTTTTTGTTTTTTGTTCTTTTTTTACACATTGCCTTTGGCTGCTTCGATGCTACAGCAGCAGAGTAACAGAGTTAGTGTATGTTCTCAAAAGGACATGTTTACCATCTACGTCATAAGGAGTCCTGGTAGTATAGTGGTTAAGTGCTTGCTTATTAGCCAAAAGACCAGTGGTTTGAATCCTCATCAGTCACTGTTCAGGAGAAGGACATGGCAGTTTGCTTGTATAAAGACTACAGCCTAGGAAATCCTTCGGGACAGTTCTGGCCTGTCATGTAGGGCTGTTATGGGTTGGAATAGACTCAAAAGCTATAGATTGTGGAATTATCTTCCTTTTCCCAGGTATCCAGTCTTAGGTATGGCTCCTTTTGATGGAAAGTAGTCCTTGCAGACCTCTTTGTTCTTGGAAGAGAAGGAAACAATTTCTTTGTTCCTTTTGCCTGAATACATTTCTCTGATTTATTTGTTTTTCTCTCCTTGGCTCTTACCACTGTATAACATAGTACTTAAACTTTCTGTGTATGTTTCGTTTACTTTCTGTCTCCCTGTTACAGAAGCTCCAAGGGACGAGAGTTTCCATTGTGCTCACACCACTCTCCCCAGAACCTTGACTAGCGGTTGGCCTGAAGTGGGCACTCCATAAATATGTGTGAAATGAATAAACAAGGGATCTGCTTGGAAAGGCTATTCAGCCGAAACACATTCCAGGCTTTTGCTTCTATGAAAACTTGTGTGAGTTTTCCTTTTACTTTTTGAAAGACCAGGTGACTCAAGGAGACTGATCTTTCTGTTGTGGATGACGAAGCTGAGCCATGGGTTAAATGAGGACCTCTCAAGTCATAAGGAATCCTAGTAGCAGAGTAGGCTGTTTGTTGGGCTGCTAACCAAAACGTCGGCTGTTTGAATTTACTAGCGGTTCTGTGGGAGAAAGAGAAGGCAGTTTGCTCCCATTAGTATTTCCAGCATTGGAAACCCAATGGAAGGTCACCATGAGTTGGAGATGACCCAGCTGCGGTGGGTTTGACACTTGTCCCTAGGAGCTTCCCTGGCACGCTCAGCTCAGCACATCCAGGGTCCTCTTTGTCCCAGAACACTTCTCCTCCTAGATGTCTCCATTGCCAAAATGCTCCGGTCTTCCCCTCATCCACTGCTGGAGAATGAACTTTCCTGAGCTCCTTCTCTTGAGTTCCTGTGAATCTCTGTGATCTGGATAATGGTACCACACAGAGCAGACTCTTCTGAGAACTTACAAGATGTACATACAGAGGTCTGTCATATGGTGGTCATTCTTCTCTCTACTTTCTGTCTAGAATATGCCATGTATCTTAGCTGTTCAGTCCCCTTAACTCCAAGGAGATGATTCCTGTCCTATCACAGGCACTTGATGGAGGCTAAAGAAAGGAGGGATGGTGTCCAAGAGAATACCTGATTACCTAAGGCTTCTCCATAGAAGACAGAACATCAAAAAGGATTACTGTATCATAATATACAAAGCATGACATTCACGAGTGGTTTCAGGCTCAGTAAATATGAAATTGGGACCATTATTACGGAAGCCTGTTGTCTCATCCAGATGCTTCTGCCTCCACTTCAGGCTTGAGCTTCACTATTTGAAGACCTGCCACGTAGAACTCCAAGTTGGCACCTAGTCTGGTGGGAGAGGAGTTGTTAACCCAAAGACTGGGCCTCTCTGACTCCTTGTCATGTGGTGTAGAGTGTGCTGCAAGCAGCCAAGAGTGGCACCCTCGTTTCTGGATCTAAAAGCAACACTCTAGAACGTGAACTCATTTGCTGAAGGCCGTATGGTGTGTAGAGGGAAATGCAAGGACTCAAGGATTTCAAGAGCTTGTTTCTCTCCCCTACATGCCCACACACACTGTGAAACACTGATGGCCACAAGGGTCCCTGAAAGACTAGAGAGTCACCAGGGACCATCACTGCTGTTCTCATCTCCTTTGTTTTCTGAAAGGGAGAAGGAAATAAAACTGACATATTATGTGTGTAATCCGTGTGCCAGGTACCTTACAGAATCACAATCTCTCATTAGGTAAGTCTGCAAGAAAGAAAAGGTACACTTATCTAAGAGGAGAGAGGTTTAAAGAACCTAGAGCATTTGCCCAAGGATATTTATAAAACAAGGATGTCTTAAATCACCTTTAAAAAATATAATAAGGTTAGTATTAGAGCTGGGACTTGAATTGAAGGTGGTATGACTTTGATTACTTTTCTCTTTCTATCACACCCAAAACATACATTATTTTTCACATCTCAGTGCTTTTGAAGGAGCTCTTCTCTCTATTCAGGATTGTTATTTCTCCATCACTGGATGAAACCATGTCTAAATACATGGCTAACTGTCTCCTGCTCCATCAAGATGCTAGTCACTCAGTTAAGTGCTCCTATGCCACAGTGTACATAGGCATCTCTCTGGCAATATTTGATTTCATGCTAATCTCTTAGATAGGCTTAAACACCAAGTTGAATACTGGCCTCAGCTTTCTAGCCATCTCATCATCCATAGTATCTGGAACATAAGTGGGCATGTTCAATGCATTTTTATCAAATGAAAGAATGGACAACAAAACAAGTAGTGGTGGTGGTAGGAGTCCATACCATAAAGGTAGAGATAGCAGGATCTTCTCTGTTCATTTCTTGAATATTAGACATTTGGGACCAAGGAGTTGGGGACAGGACAGCCTTCAACTGATCCCATGTTCACCAGGAAGGTTTCATAAGATGAGCACTGACAATCACGGCTCTCCCATAGTATGGCTTCTCCAAGGGAGGAGAACATGCATGCAGTGGAACACAAAACACTTTCTAGCAAAATGTGTTTTGCGTTTTAATCCTACTTTTTTAGTCACTGATTATGTGATGAATGCATATGATCTCTCTGGGTTTAACACTTAAACACAGACATCTACGTTAGGAATGGAGAACTCATTCAGGAACTGTCTAATTTGTCATCATGCATGTGCTGTTTTTATGGAGTGATTTTCTGTTTGACTTTCCTGTTTTGCAATTGACTGGGTTGATTAAGAGAAAAATAGTTGCCTTTATTTAAAGTTATTGTTGTGTGCCTTTGAGTCAGACCCATAACTGAGCCTCCAGTGGGTTTTCAATTTAATTGCACAGGAAGAGATTGTTTACCCTTCTCCCACGGAACAGCTTGTGGATTTGAATGGGGTGCCTTTGGGACTGCAGTGTAGCTCCCTACCACTAGGTCACCACAGCATGCTCTTTATTTAATAAGTAGAAAATAAAAAAGATAGGTAATCAACTAGCCATCTATAATGCCCACTGTAAAACACTGATAACATGAGGTGTTGTTGTTGTTGTTGTTGTTGTTATTGAGTGCCATCAAGTCTTAAATGACTCATAGCGACCCTATGAATGAAAGACTTGAACACCTGTATAACTTCCATCATTTCTCCAAGTTCACAGGGTTTCCAGAGGCAAGCTATTTCCCAACTCCTCAAACCAAAGCGCTTGGATGTTTTTATGGTGTGTGACACTGGTTCTAGATAAAGTCATGATTCCTTGTGTATTTTCTGAAATTGTGAAAACAGTTAATTGATTCTTTTAGAACTTTTCAGCCCTCAGTGCTATCATTTCTCCAAATCAACACAAAATCAGCTTGGACATTGTTGAGATCTGTGCATCTATTGCATGTGTCTTAAGTCCTACAGGAGACTGAGGCCCTTTCTTGCAAGAATTGGGAAATTCCAAAAGATTACAAGATTAACCAAAGATTGCAATTCTAAAGATTAACTGAAAGATTACACGCTTAGAGGCAAAACTGACCAAAATGACAGAAACACAACAGACATGAGCAATGACAGTGCATTTTCAAGTGCAAAACAGCTACACAAATTAAAACATTTGGGCTACAGATGGCTTAGACAGAAGAGGCTATGAGAGACCAATAGACACTTGGTTGGTGTGAGAAATGCATGCTATAGGTTCCTTTACAGGGCACAAAGCAAAGTTCACCCCAGCTCAATACTTACAAGTAATAGGAGTAGGAATAAGCATTTCTTCTATAGATTGATGGGCAGTCAGATGGAGGAAATGTCCAAAAGGGGGGGAAAAAAAGAAAAGACAAACAAACAAGAATTAGATTGGTATGAAATCTTGATTCTTAGAAATGCACATAGTATTTCAGTAATCCCTGCTTTGGGGTGGATGTATCCTTGACTGACACTAATGATCAAGCAATCAACTCATTAAAAAAAGGTTGGTAGTTCAAACCCATGCAGGGATTCCTTGAAAGACAGACTCGGTAATCTGCTCCCAAAACTGCACAGCCTTAAACACTTCGGGGGCATTTCTACTCAGCACACGTGGGGCTGTCATGAATCAGGATCAACGTGGCGGCAAAGGATAACAACAGCAAGTTCAAGGAGATGCAAGGATCTTGACCAATCACTGAAAGTCAAAGTCTCCATAAACAAAGACATGAGAGAGAGGCTGTGTGTGTGTGATGGGGGAAATGTGCTGCCTCACAGAAGTAGCCAAGTCTTAGTGACTGTCTGGTGTCCTAGTGGCAAGAAGCTGCACTGCAGTCCCAAAGGCACGCGGTTCAAGGCCACCAGCTGCTCCGCAGGAGAAGGCTGGGCAATCTCTTCTCGTATGATTAACTGCCTCTGAAAACCCACTGGAGGGTCAGCTATGGGTCTGTTCCGACTTGACGGTATACAACAACAACAACATTTCGTCTGAAAGCTCTTCTTTCTGGCCAGCTAAAAAAAACTATCTCCCTTGGAATGATTGATCAGCATTCCGTGGTGCCCACCCCCTTCCCAGAACTCGTCTGTCACCCTTCCAACAGGAAAGTGCTCCTGTTATATAAGGCAAATAACTCTTTTGCCTTCTCTGTTTCCAGCCAAATCAGCTCTCAATCTATTTCAGTAATGTCATGTCCAGAGCAAAGGAACTGTGTAGCCAGCTTCCAAGATGCACCCTCACTCCAGTGATTCTCCCCTCTCCAGTATTCATGTGTGTGTGTCCTGCCAGTGTGCACTGAATCAGGGCTGATCCTGAATAAGAGGCAACAGTAGGAGCGAAGCTAGAGAACTTTCCTAGATGGGTCAAAAGAAGTCTTGCACCTCTTTCCAGGCCTCTCAGAACACACCCTCTCTTTCTTTCTCTCAGATCTTTGAGCCGCTATGTAAAAAGTCCAGCTTTCCTGAACTCAGTACGGTAGGGAGGCTCTATTGAGAGGTCCTCAAATGACTTTAAGATCATCGGATGCCTAGGAACTTTCAACCTCTTAGCTGTCCCAGCTGAGACTCTTAGAAGGATGGAAAAGAGAGGAGGTCATTCCATATAAGGACTTCCCAAGTTCAGACTCATTTGACTAAGCAATTGCCATTCTTTTAAACCATGAAATTTTGGAGGGTTTTAACATAGCAGTCATCCACAAAAGCAAAATTTAAAAGTCAGCATGAAAGAGGTAGAAGCGTCAACCCTCAGTTGAAACAAACTCTAACTAGAATTCTCGACTCCCTGTGTGCCATTCCCTCCTCTGTCCCTTTGGTGGCCTGAATGCCATCAGCAGTTTTAAAGATTTTTCGTCAGAAGAGCCAGGATTCTCGAGCATATCTTCTTTGTGATGATGGCAAAGAAAGGGGGAGAGCAGGTGTATGACGCTGACGGTCCCACCCCATGTGCCATGGGCAGGACGTCTCTATTTTTTAAATCGACTTTGTACATTGCCATTTCAGGACTTTCAAGATTTCACATGGAAAAGAAGGACATTGTTCAAAAGAAGATTCAAAACCACTGTCTTCACTCATCTCTCAAGGCTCTTAGCTTCTAAGTCAAAACGCCTCAGATGAGTCCATAATATTCTCTTTGTTACATCTTTTCCTACTTTGTAGGGAAATAGATAGGAATACTTTTCTTTTTATCTCAGACTGAGCTACACTGACAGTAAGTAATATATTTGTGGAGTGAGAAAATTTGCTGAATAATTCAGGTCCCCAAATATCCACTGGAGTAGACAAGAATAGCTTCCTTCCCCCTTGAGTTATTTGGTTAATTGCAACCATTATCCTGTTTGCTTGGCACAGAAGAGACAGCTTTTATATCCACAGAGGTGGGACTGTATCCCCAAAGCCCCATATCTCCCACTTTCATACAGAAAATAGTCAAAGATGCCAAAGCAGGGCCATTTCTCAGATTCTCCTCTCTTACCAGGAGAAACCAATCTCATAGCTTCTGAAAGGAAAGTGATTCTGAGAGGCACATCCTCATGGAAAGCCGATCTTGGAAAACTGAGTCATGATACCAAGATCTGGCCGCTCAGACAAATACTAAATATCCTGGACTGAATGAACTATGGTTCTGGATTAGGAAGGAAGATGGGAAAATTTGGGAATGATGGATGGACACTGGAAAAACCCACAGCACAAGACATCCAGCTCCCTTCACCAGCCACCATGGTTGGAATTGAATGGAAACTGTTCCCCTTCTCACTATTAGACCTGTTGCCTAGGGCCTGCAAATGTGATTTCTCAGAAGCCAGAGGCTCAGAATCCATTTGATGGAGACTTCTGCTATGTTCACTAGATTGTCAGGAACACTGGGCTGAGAACCAAATGTCAGGGTTCTGATCTCAGCTCTCCCACTGGCTCACTGTGACTCACTCAGTCAGATGTTCCATCTCCCTGGACTTCGGTTTCCTTGTTCATGCGCCCAGGTGGGTCACACAGATGACTGCCAGCCACACAGCTTTGTAAACAGAATCCTGGCATCACCACTTACCGACTGGATGGGCTTTAGCAAGTCATTAAACATCTCTGAGTCTCAATTTCTCCATCTCTGGGATGGGGATGGGGACAATAATAACCTATACCCTAGAGTTACTGTGGGTTTTCATAATATGTAAATGTCATATAAATGATGCTAACCTACATTAATGTTAGGGAGTTCTAGTGGCCTGGTTGTAAGGAGCTGCCCTGTCAACCCAAAGGCCTATGTTCAAATCCCCTGGGTGTTGAGGAGACAGATGAAGAGTCTCCTTCTGGGCAATTTCTTGCCTCTGAAAACCTGCTGGAGAGTTAGCTATGAGTGGCTTTCAACTTGACAGAGTAGAACAACAACAAGGTTAATATTACATTATGTTAATCTAAACACTTAGGATTAATAAGGAACTGTTTACACATCTGTCTTGTCCACAGATGTATCTCCCTCTGGATAGACGGGAACAAAGAGTTTACCTCTTGTGAAATATAAGACACTGAAATAACAGAAGCCCTTTGTGTCCTACTTAATATATGCTAGTTATTGCTCTCAGTTCTTAACATCTATCAACTCAGCTGTCTTCATAAATATTCCCATCATCCCCATTTTACAGATAAGGAAACTCGCACCAAGGAAGAGAAGTAGTTTTCATAAGATTACAGAGATTCCGACTGAATAATGTGAGCACAAACAAATGCTGCATGCTCCGGGCCACTAACCAGTGTTTCCCTCAAGGAAGGGAGAAAAGAGATGTGCCTTGATAAATATAATGAGTCAGTTACTGATATTCCAAACTCTTTTTGTCATTAATTTTCACCACAGCCCAGTAAAGGAAGTAGTATTCTTACTCTGCCTCTCTCTCATCTCTCTCACCCCTTCCCTCCATCCCTCTCTCTCTCTCCCCCTCCCCCTTTCTCTTCTCTCCCCTTCTCTTCCCCTCCCTCACTCACTCCCTCACTCCCCCCCTCAAGAATTTGTAGGTCTAAGGAGTGACTCCTCCCCAGATGAAAGGGTTTGATTATCTGCAGTGACTCCATCTAGACCCAGTGGCTTCCATACTATCAACAGAGGCCGCCTCCTCATGGGCCTAGTCTGCATTAAACTTTCCAAAATTTTGGAATTCTTCTCTTCTCGTTGTTCAAGGTTTTGTGTTTGTTTGTGGTTTTTTTTTCTGGGCTCCCTCCTCATGATAATATACTTCCTTCGTCACCTTCAAACCAAAGACCACCTCTTCCGAGTGGCTTTTTTCCTGACTTCTCATGGATATCACCAAATGCCAGTGACATCGATGACTCAGCTTGAAGGAAGCAATAATCACAGAATGCCGACTGATCAGCTTATATTAACTGGCTAATTTTTAGCAGTTGAATCGCAGAGTCTTTTAGGGAGAAGTTCTTTACTTTGTGACCAAAACACAAAGTATATATGTGGGCTTCCTCTAAGCCTGAAAGAAGATTTACTGAAGGTCTAAATTTACAAGGGTATAGTGATATTGCAAGTAACAGATTGCCTAGGATCAAAAACCCTGAGCAGGAAGACAGCTGTGCTTAGAAAAAAACAACCACCCCAAACTTAATAAATCACATAGTATGGGACCTTCTTTTCAGCGTGCTGACAAGACTGACTTCAGGCACAGTTTCTCTTTGTTCCACACCGTTTAAACAGAACTCAGTTGTATATCCAGCTATCCATTTGACCATCCACCCATCCATCTAGATCAGCTTATAAAGCCACGCACCCCCTATTCATTTACTCAACAATCCACAAATGCACCCACGCATCCATTCATCTGCCTGTTCATCCACTCGGTAATCTATCAATCCATCCATCCATCTAGCCCATAAACCCACCCCCATATCCGTCCATTCATCCCTCCATCCCTCCACCCACCCAATAATTTATCTCTGATCTACTCATTAATCTTCCTATCATTAATTCAGGAAAGACTTCTGGAAAGCTGACTCTATAGCTGACTCTTCCCAGTACTGGATACAAAAAGACAAATGAGATCTTGATCCTTCATGCATGTCTGATGGGAGAGTCAGAAAAGAAAATGATAGAAAGATGATGATGTTAATAATAACAACTATTACTTATTTAAACTATGGTAGTACGGCACTATTTAAAAAGTTATTTTATGTAATCTTTGTAGCAGTCTTCTAAATAACTATTATGCCTGTTTTACAGATGAGACAGATAGGGTAAATAATGTGCCCAAGTTCATGTAGTTGGTATGTGGCATGGCAGGTGTTAGAGTCGAGTGGTCTGATTTAGAGAACCTGTTACTAGTCAC